TTTGGGGCCGCAATATTTCCATGAAATAAGCCATGTTTGCAAAAAGCGAAAGATAAAAAAATTTTGAAGGTAGGGGTATCTACGGATTAGTAGGGTTAAAAAGTTACTTGGAGGTAGGGGAAAAAATTTTAAAGCGGAAGGTTTGGGGACCGTAAAGAAAGGGTTGTGAGATGGAGAAGAGTGAAGGGGAGGAACAGGAGGTGGACTGGATCCAATCAAGGTTCTAGTCTCCTCAATATATTCGAGATGTTTTCGTCTTTCAGAGGACAAGAACTTGTATGGGTAAAATGCGGGGAGGAACGAGGGGTAAGTAAAGCGGGGTGAAGTAGCCCAAAGTAGGGGGGGGGAAAAAGGGGAAAAACCAGAAAAGCAGCTTGGGAGGAGACAGGAGAAAAAGCGACCGGGAAGGGGCCGAAGGGAAGAATTTTGGGAGGGGACGGGGGAAAGAAGTACTTACGGGGAGGGGGATAAACCCTTCACACTTGTAACAGAGCCAGTTAGAGTAAAAAAACCAGGTACAACTTGGGAAGGGAAAAAAATGAGCAGGTGCAGAAGGGAGGGAGGGTGAAAGGAGTTTTTAATAATGGAGTGTTTTGGACTTCGGAGAAAAGATGGGCGAGGGGAGTAGGTGTTGTAAAAGGGTCTTGTAGATACACAAACTTGTGAGGAGAAGAGGAAGAGGTAAAAAAGGGAATGAGGTCCCCAGGTAGGGCCCTCCGACTAAGATAGCAAAAGAATTAAAGAGAGGGGTGATATGGAAGGGGTGGCCAAGGGGGCTGCAAAAAGTGGGGCCCCAGAGGAGGGGGGGCATTTAGTAACTTGAAAAAGAAATACGGGGAAGTTTCCTTGGGGGGCATAGATGAGAGACTGCCATAGAATTTGGGTGGCCTTCTCCCTCTTGGCAATGGATTTCACGTCATTTAAATAAACTTTGCAACAGCGAGAGTAAGATGGGCGAGCCTCATGACAATTAAGGCCAGAGGGAGGTAGACTACAAGATGTATTGATATGGTCGTTGGCACCACAGACTGGGCATTCAGCCATGGACCTGCAATGTTTTGCTAGATGACCAAAACACCAGCACTTTCTACACTATTGTGGTGTAGGGATCACCTTTCAAACTTGTAAATGGTGTCCTGTAATACATACAGAGGACGGAAGCTCACGGCAGTGGGCAGGGAGGACATAAGTGTCTACTTTGAGGATTGGGAGGTCTTGGAGTTCTAACTGTTCCAGAATGTCATTGCCAAATGTCTGGAAATTCAGTTGCACAATGGTATGGGGCAGAATGACAGTACCACTACAAGAAGTGAGGGAATGACGTTTTTCAATAGTTACAGGAATAGTACCGATAGTTGTAAGGAGAACAAGATCATGAGCTTGGTTAGCATTCTGGACAATGATAATGCATGTTCCTCTCTTGAGAGTATGAAAGGATATATATCTACCAACATGGCACAGGAGAGCCTTGCCAATACTATGGTTGGAAAGATGGGCAGTAGAGGAAGTCGGTCGTAGAGTAAAAAACTTAGTCCAGTGTATATTTTGAAGCAACATATAAAGGAAGTGCATGATGCGCCAGTCATTTCTGAGAAGAATGAGAAGGAAACGAAGAAGTATCATCAGGTAAATGATCTTGGGTGTTTAGATGTGGGACAAAAGTGGGTCTGACGTGGTATGGGTGGCATCCAAAAATTTGCCTCCTGTAGAGGGAGAAGCCGGAAGCATAGGCAAAGAAGAGCGGAGGTCAGATGTATCAAAGGAGTCAGTCAAAACCCCGATACCTGAAATGGGTGATGAAAAGGCACCAGCAAGAGGTACAGGGGCATTAGAAATGTCCAAAGAGTGGTCAAATAACGAGCCAGGGTTGGAATATGGTGTAGTATCAGTAAGGGGTCCGGGGAAAGTAGGTTCATGGATTTGGGACTCCATGGTTAGGTCACTTCTTTCTTGTTATGTAGAAAAAAAAGAGGGGGGGGGGAATGTGGAGGAACAGCTCCTAGGAGGTAAAACCGGGCTGTAAATCCCCCTCTGGGCCCAAGAGGACCAAAGCACGGCAAGTAGTGCAGATGCGGCATGGAACCCATGCCATACGCTACCCTTCATGCCAGTAAACCAGCAATCTGGGATAGCAACCTCACATCCGCCAAGCCACCTAGGTGGACAACAGAGAGGGCAGCCGGACACCCGCCACAAAGCATACCGCCTACGGCCCCCACACCCCGGAATCCGACAGGTAGCCTCCAGAGATACCCCCGTCACCCGAAAGACACCCAAAGCAATCCCATCCCCCTAGGAAACCGGAGAGGGATCGGAACACCCCCAGGTGATCCAGATTCCACAACAAACTACACAACCGCCAAGGACCTTAATGGAATGGGATGGACCCCGGTAGCCTTCTCCCTACCTAGGAACTAGAGTGCCTGTGGGAAGAATTCCAAACGCTTAAAATTAGAAGAGAATAGGGGAGGGATGGGGAGGAGGAGGAGGAAGAAAGGGAAAAAGGGAGGATGGGATAGGGAAGGGGGGGATTGGGGGGTAATTAGGGTCAGTCTGAGGAAGGAGACTAAAAGGTCTAATTCCTCAGACCAAGAGCCTCTTCACCGCACCAAGGAGCCTCCCTTCTTGAAGAGCTTCAGACTTTAAGCACTGGTATTTTTCTTAAAGGAAACTTTTCCTTGAATTTTGGTTGAGTAAAGTTTAATATGACTGTTTCTTTAACCAAATTGGCTTTAATGCAGTTACTGGAAAATGCCTCTTCTGATCAGTTTCAAACCTTGCCTGCTGGTGTATCTTGTTAGACGAAACTTTTGACTGAATTGGGAATGAACAGGAAAATGGGACAAATGTTACGATGGTTTTCATACAATATTTTTTAAATGCCTCATCTAATAGACTTTAAAAATTCAACGCCTATAACTTGCAAATGAAACTTTTGAGCTGATTCAAACACGCTGGTGTATTTTGGAAA